AATTAACTATTCTCTAAAATTAAAACCCTATGCTCTATGCCCACCTGTAAACTCTTTCAAATATCATTGGAGCTATTGCTTGTATTATTGTTGTTGATTTCCAACTAAATTATATCTTTGTTTGTCTTTATAAGAATGACATCAGCATGCATGCTTCTGTTTTTCAAACAAAGTCATGTTTGAATTAAAGTAAAAAAATAAACAAAGCTTCAGCCTCTAAGAAAGGAAGAAAGGAAGAAAGAAAGAAAGAAAGAATTCTTGGCTTCCAATTCTTCACCTCTCGCTTTTGTACCAGACTTCTACCCTCTACTACAGCTTTTGGTTTTCTGTTTTCCTCCTTACCCTTCTCTTCCCATAATCCTCATTTCTGTGCTTTTTTTCCCCAGTCTCACAGGACATACATAGCCACACTTGTGGTCAGGCCTGCCATACCTAGATTACTGAGTGGGTTATTTAAAAAAACAAAAAACAACAGTTTGCTCCATAAACCTCCAGGAATTGGGGGATGTCACTTACAGTAGTCTAGGTTATTTAATACATTCATTCTCTTCTCTCTCTCTTTTTAAAGGATTGATTTATAAACATATTCAACTCAGTAGTATATATTTAAGAACATCCACAATGTTTATTGCTTAGAAAAGAAATCCATAATTACAGAGAAATTTTGCACAATATAACTTGTCCTGGACCTGCTTTGGTCACAGTGAGTCCTTCACACACACACACACACACACACACACACACACACACACACACACACACACACACACACACCTTTGCCAGCTTGGGTAAACATGTGTTTTGTGAGAGTTTAAACCCCACGTTGACATCCCACCAGCTCTTGGATAGTGAGCTAGTCACTCATCCTCTCTGGGCCTCAGTTTTCCCATCAGTATTATGGGAGTCACACAGGGTAATTCATTGGGGTCACAGTTGGTGGGCTCTAAATGCACTTAAGAAATCAAGGTGACAAGGCTCTGACTCAAGATCTGAGCAAATTGTAGGATGATAACATTGGAGAATGGTAGAATCACATTTTTCCTCCCCATGTTAACCATGATCTTTACTTAAAGATCTTAGTCAGGAGGCAAAAGAGGAAACTTGAAGTATATAATGTGGACAGTTAACTCTGCCACCTCCCCAAGAAGCAAAGCTAAAGCTTTGTATAGTTAATGCCACTGTCAGCTCCAAGGCTTCTGACTTGACAAAATCCCTGCACCAGCATTTTTCAATGTTAGACTTTTTTTTATTGTGAAAATACCATACAGAGGGGTTACAATTACATGGACAAGATAATGAGTACAGGGTTGGGAAGGTGGCTCAGTGGTAGAGCGCTTGCCTTGCATGCCTGAGGCCCTGGGTTCGTATTCCTCAGCACCACATAAGCAAAATGAAAAAAGCCAGAAGTGGCGTTGTGGCTCAAGTGGTAGCTTTGAGTGCTAGCTTTGAGCTGAAGAGCTGAGGGACAGCACCCAGGCCCAGAGTTCAGGCCCCACGACCAGACCCAAAAAAAAAAAAAAAGCATTGTTGCCTCCTCCTTTGTTTCCCCTTCCCATTCCTTAATGTTAGACTTTTTTTCCACCCAAAACATCATATCTCCAATAAAGGCTTCCATTTTTTAAAAAGCCATAGAGCCAAGCACCAGTGGCTCACACCTATAATCCCAGCTACCCAGGAGCCTGCAATCTAAGGACTGTAGTTGGAAGCTAGCCCAGGCAAGAAAGCCCACGAAATTCTCATTGCCAATAAACTGCTCAAAAAGTTCCAGAAGTGGGGCTGGGACTCAAGTGGTAGAGCACTAGCCTTGAACAGAGAAATCTCAGGGACATTGCCCCAGACCCTGAATTCAAACCCCAGGATAAAAGACATAGAAAGTAAAGTTGTCCTTTGTTCCCACTCGTAAAATACATAAGAGTAAATGCTGAATGGAGGGAAACTCAGTGTTATTGCTTGCCATGCTTTAATCTAATAACCAGAAAACCCATGGTTCTTTCTTCCTGACTAACTTGACAACCAATCCAGGAAACAGTATCTATGCCCACTAGTACCTAGGACATAATTCATTATTCCTGCCAACATGGATAGCCGTTGTCACTTATGTAACACCTACTGTGTGCTAGGTTTGACGTAGACAGCTTGAAAGGAATCTAACATCTAGAGTTAAGAACTTTACACCTGGCTGGGAATGTGGTTTAGTGGTAGAGTGCTTGCCTAGCTTGTATGAGGCCTTAAGTTTGATTTCTCAGTACTACATAAAGAAAAAAGTCATTAAAATATTTTAAAAATATAAAAAATGCTATTATACATATATATGAACTTCACACCTAGTTGGGAAATTCTAGATTCAGGTTTAGTTCTGCAGCTGACAAAGGGTATAGTTTTGAACCAGACATTTCTTGAAGGTGTCAAATTAGAGGGCTGAGGGGTAGAATTGAGAGGTATAGCACTTTCCTACCATATATATGACCCTGGGTTTGATTCTGAAAACAAAAACAAAATTAACACAGTGAAAATGCCAATTAGAGTTCTTAACATAGCACAACAGAGAACAAGTGCTCACAGAGGGGAAAAATGAAAAACAAAAATGTAGAAGATGGAAATCATAAATATAAGAATTGCGGAAGAAAATTTGAAAATGACATAAAATTTCAGTTGTTTCACAGGCACATTTTTTAGATTGGAATTACAGGATATACTCTGAATAATGACTTCTATTAATTAAAACTATTCATTGGAACCCACACACTTCAAACTCGTGATCTCTAATTTCTAGTGAAACAGACTCACTTGTTGGAAGATGAAAACATGTGCATTCTTGATGAAAACATGTGCATTCTTGTAATTTAGGAAAGTTTAAGTGTGAGCATACAAGCTTCATAAAAGCGATTTTCATTGCAAGGTATTTTTATTGTATTAAACAAAGTGAAGACAATATCTCCCTTCTCTTGTTTTCTTAGGCTCCTCCTCCTCCATTAACCTTCAAGTGCATACCTGGTCTTTCCCAAGGGATCTTTCATAAAAGTACAGCTAGACAGAGAGAACCTGATGAAGCACGTTTATCCTCAACACCAACTCATAACTTTTACCACATTGTGTACATTGCAGACACTAACTTAGACTAAGCTCGCTTTAGGATAATCCTGGGGTACTGAACAAAGTACAATAGAGAAATCAGAGAGCATGTTTCTGACCCCAAACTCTGCCACAGCCGTGTGATCTAGAGACTTGGGCTCCTTTTGTGACAATGGGGAAGTTAGGCTAGATGATCCAGGTCTTTACCAGCCTGAAATAAAAGTGGATTCAGGTAGCAGTGTGCAAGCCCTTTAAAAACAGAACATGTGAGACCAACGTGGGAAACAGAGAGGTGGCCTGATACAGAGGCACATTAGCTGTTTATTCAATTTAAAAGCTAGGCATGGGAAAGAATGACCTTGAGTCTGTTGACTTGTAAAGGCTGGATTCTCTTGGCTTGGTATGAGTGTGCTTGTGAATATAAGGGTTGGCCACAGGAAGCCAACACACCCTACATGTAAACTCACTGGGCTGAGTTGTTTCACACCCACTCAACACACCCAGCATCAGCAGAGACCAGCATTCACACAATTCAATCATCCTGACACCACATCCGTGAGACTAGCCGTTTTTGAGGATACATGGGTCTCTATTTCCCTCTCTGTAAATGGTACCTCTGCCACTTAGTGGTCTGTTATACAAATTCACTAAGAGTTGTGAGTAAAAAAGATTTCAACTCTAGGCATTCACACACAGTCAGACCAAAGGAGGATATTGTTCGGAGAGGAACACAAAGGCACAGTGCTTATGTGCATCTGATCATACAAAATAATATATATGGAAATGAACCCCAGGATACGGAAATAAGATTTTTGTTTTTGTTTTTCTTTTTGTTTTTCTTTTTGTCTTGTCTGTCTTTGAGAGGGTAAAAGCAATCACAGAAATGGAGGGACACAGGGGGAACAATGCAGCAGTGGTACTCACTAGACACTATGTTGAACATGAACCATATGACTTGTGAGTGAAATAGGAGGGAAAACTGAGAGAGAGCAAGGGCAGGAGTGACATTGTCCAAAAAGAAATGTACTTATTACCTGACTTATATAACTGCTACCCCTCTGTCCTTCACCTTTATAATAACAATGAAAACGCTTTCAAAGAAAAGAATGATCATATTTAAATAAGATATTTAAATGTATTTAAATGATACATTTAGATAAAATATATATAATACTTTATTCCGTAAACTGTATGTCTACCACTCTACTTATGAAACAAAACATGACATATATAGTTGCAGATGCTACTGTATTCCTACCATACTCCTTTCTCTCAGCTTCTCCATGAGTAATTACCATTCTCCATTTGGAGAAATTATCTTCTCTACACATTTCTTCATAATTTTTAATACATGTGTCTATATCCATCAGCAATATACGGGTGGCTTTCCATACCAGGGTGTTCTATATCCATGAATTCATACAGTGACAAGTTTAAAACATTTAAAGGGCTGAGGATGTGGCTCAGTGGTAACAGGTTTGTCTAACACGTATAAAGTCCTGGGTTTAATCACCAACATTGAAAAAAAATAAAATGTTTACTGAACATGAAAAAAAAGAGATTTTAGTCCAATTAAACCAAAAAAAAAAAAAAAGAAGGAAAGCAAATAGAAGAAAGGAGATAGCCCAAGAAATAAGCTACATTTACTATATTATTTATCATCACATTTTAACCACCCTCTCCAAAGTAAAAATCCACAGGGGAGTACAATTTAAATAAACAAATGAACAGTGTCTCTAAGTGATCTCTGTCACAGTAGAGTTTGAGCACATTTGTGAGTGTACCCTGGTTCACCACCCTCCAGACCCTGCAGTCTGGAATTCTCAGACCCACATGTGTTGAAGCCTACCCCACATTACATTAATTTGCCCAACCTCAGCATTCCACATGCTGCAACACTCTACCCAATAGCTCTCATCCAAACTGACCTTCTTCACAAGGTAGCCCTCCCTGATCCGCTTTGGTTCCATGCTGGCTGGATGGATGGAGAAACAAATACTTGCTCTGACACGTCCTCTCAGAAGCTCAGCCTCTTCTGGGAGCCAAGTGGTTGTGGGCTGCCCTTTTCATGGTGAGATCTCTTTCATAATTTCCCTTCTGCTGGAGATCGCATGATCACATCCTCTTCCCCTCACTGAGGCCAACGATCAGAATAAGGAACTGTAGAACCAAACAGTCCAAACTTTACTAATGCTAGAGACATTGAAAGTACTGTGGTTGAACATTTACCTAAGGTAAATTTTTATTACCATGAATAAAAGCCTTCTAGACAGAAAAAAAATGATAAAAAGAAAGGGAAGTTAAACAAGCTTTTATTGAAGGAAACAGTCCTGTTTAGAAATTATTTTTGACATCCCAAAAATGCTTAAGAAAACACCAAGATTCAGGCACTGGTGGCTCAGATCTGCCTTCCACCAAACATAAATGATGCAGTTGTCCTAGAAAAAGAAATCTTTGTGATCAAACATGCTTCATAAACTGTGTACTGTAATTTGGGCTTGGAGACTCTTCTTATAGATTTCTCTCTCTCTATTTGAAATATACACACACACACACACACACACACACCAACTAAGCACTACAGAAAGACAGACAGACAACAATGGTTATCAAATTTATTTGATCACAGAATTATATTAAACAATTTCTATGAACATATTTGTTATAAATTGAATTATGTCTTCCAAAAATGAAATCCAAACTCCCCAGTGCCTCTGAATAAGATAGATTTGGAAATAGGACCGTGGTAGGTATAAGCAGTAGAGTAGAAATGAGGCTCTCCTGAAGCAGATGAGCACTACATCCAATATGACTGTTCTTACAAGGAAAGGAGAAACACATAGGGAGCCAATAGTTGTGCGATGGCAAAGGCAACATTGTGGTTATGAGTTTACAAGTTAAGGATACAAGTGTAACTGAGGCTGGAAAAGGCCAGCAAGGATTCTCTTTAGAGAGTGGAGTCCTGTTCACTTATACTCCTTGAAGCTCTGAGCAATAAATTTCTCTTGTTTTAAGCCACCTACTTAGTTTGGGCAGCTCTAGACACAAATCCTATTTTGTAAAGCTACTATTCTATAGAATAAACTTAGAGAACTATTACTCTGACCACGTGAAAATGGGAACATTACTTAATCCTTGTGTGGCCCCGCTTTCTGGATGATAACAACTTTCCAATAGGATCATTCTGGAGATAGTACAGGTTAGTGCTTACACCATTGTCTGAAACGTAAGAAATGACTTTTAAGAGTCATTTCTATTGTTGTTTCTATATTCTATCTAATTGAGGCAAGCCTCAATTCTCCTAGGGCTGATCCTTCTCAAAGAGATTACAGAATCTAGTCTACAGAAGTAATCAAAGGACTAGATTACTGACTAGTTCCCTTTTCTCCTGAGACCATACAGTGTTTTTTACTTGCAAGCAACAGAAACCAACTTTGGCTAAGAAAGGCAAATGGGAATTTATTGAAAAAGAATAGAATGGCTTACAAACTTGGAGGAAAAGGAGATTCAGGTCTGTAGATGGATAGGAAAAGCAGCTATGGGGTCTCATGAAGCAAGCTCTCACTCCTGAGGCACCAAGATGAAATTATCTCAGAAGTTTTCAGTCACCAGGTCTCAGGCTTCTGTGGCCCCTGTTTTTCCAGCCATATTTCTATTTTTTAGTTCATTTAATCCTAATATAGATTGCATTAAAATATAAATGGTTTGCCTTCTATTCCCCATTGCATCAAAAATTAATTAGAAATTGTGAGAAAAGTCAAGGAGGAAGTTCAAGAATCTGTCTTTGATGGCTGTGGAACAAAATTTAAATGGCTGGGATGATCTATGTTCCTGCATTTGAACAAGTGTGTCAGCTAGATACAGGCTATGGGAAACCCTGCTCACAGGTTTCCAAATCTCATTTAATGGCTAAAGTTATCTCCTTTTGTTTAATTGGCCAGCTGACTTCTGACTTGAAATGTTCTCTCCCTTTGTCTTAGCATGGTCAGAAGGCTTTAAAGAACCTTCACAGAACAAACACATGGTTGTTTTTGATGCCCACAGTATGACATCTCTGTCTCTGTTCAGAAATTTTCATTTTGAGAAACATATTAATGAGTGCTTAACTGTGCATTCCCTGTAATAGATGCAGAAGTAAAGAAGGGACTTCCCAGATATATGACTCAACTGAACCACTGATTGATTCCATGTTGCCACTCCCACCCCTTCGGCCACAGGTCATCATGCCTGCTTAGCATCACCTAGTGGTCTATAGGGGAACTGCATAAATCAATGTTACTCTGGACAGTGGAAGCAAATGTCAGATCCCATTCCTAGAATAGATCATTAGAACTTCTTCCAGCATCTTCCTTGCATGTGTGCATTCAGGCTTTCTGCTCTAGATCTCCTTTCTTTTGATTCTCCCAGAGTCAATCAATAACCCTGGAACCATTCTTGTAGTTCAGCTACAAGAATGGAATAAGCAACAAAAGATAACTGTGTCTAATGTAAACCTGTGTGTTCTTACAGAAAACTTTTCTAGGTTTCTCAGCTTTTATGGAGTTTGTGTTTAGAAGTCATTTGTGTGTGTGTGTGTGTGTGTGTGTGTGTGTGTGTGTGTGTGTGTGTGTGCTGTTCCTGGGGCTTGAACTCAGGACCTGGGCACTATCCTTGAGCTTTTGTTATTAAGGGTAGAACTCTACCACTTGAGTCACAGCCCCTCTTCCAGCTTTTTGGTGGTTAAGTGGAGATAAGAGTCTCTTGGACTTTCCTGCCTGGGCTGGCTTTGAACTGTGATCCTCAGATCTCAGCCTTCTGAGTAGCTACAAGTACAAGCATAAGCCACCTGGCACTGAGCTCTAGGAGTTATTTTACAACTCTAAGTTGTACATAACTTGGAGCAATGCAAATAATTATTGCAAGAATAGAAACTTGGTTAAATAGACTCAACTTCATTCTCCTCTTCCATCCTCACCTCTCATAGAAAAAGACAGCTTTGGGTCACTTAATAAGTGGGTTTCAAAATTCCTTTACTTCATATAAATTTGTCTTTGACATCGCTTTTGAACAAGTCATGACATTTGTCTGGTTCTCTGTCCTCATGAGTTAAATAAAGTTATATTTATTCTGAGGGTAGAAGGGCTGAACTCGGGATCTTGTGCTTGCAGGGAAGGTGTTCTACCACTTGATCCATTCCCCTAAACCATATTTTTAGTTATTTTTCAGATAGAGTTTCATACTTTTGCCCAGGTTGAGGCTGGATATGGTAGCTTTGTATTTATGATCACAGCTACTCAGGAGGTGGAGGTCAAGAGACCAGTAATTTGAAACCAGTTTAGGCAAAAAAAGTTCTCAAAACTTGATCTCAACAACAATAACAAAAAATCTTGGGAATGTGGCTTAGTGGTAGCGTGCTTGCCTAGCGTGAATGAAGCCCTGGGTTCGATTCCTCAGTACCACATACACAGAAAACGCCAAAAGTGGCACTGTGGCTCAAGTGGTAGAGCTCTAGCCTTAAGCACAGAGAGGCTCAGGACTAGGGCCCAGGCCCGGAGTTCAAGCCCCAGGACTGGCAATAAATAAATAAATCTGGGCATGATGATGCATGACTGTTATTCCAACAACACTGGGAACTGTAACTAGGAGGATCATGGTCTAGGCCAACCTGAACAAAAAGTAAGAAACTATCTCAAAAAGAACCAAAGCAAAAAGGGACCAAAGTGTGGTTCAAGGATAGAGCATGTACCTAGCAAGCCCAAAGCCCTGAGTTCAAACCCCAGTGTTGGAAGGGAAAAAAAGATGAATTATTTGCCACCCATCAGACTTGACATTGTTTTCATATTAGTAAAATTCAAAGGCATTTACATACACTGCTAGGGAGTGAAAATACTTTTACAGAACAATGTGCTAGTAACATTCAAATGTTTAAATGTATGCTATGAGTCTTCCCAACTATATCCCAAGGGTCATCTCCCTCCCACAGTGTTCATCTCAGCATGGAGCTTCCATCCTTCTAAAAACTGTCCTGTTCTTCACGACCGCACTGGGGTCTGTGCTTAAAACCAATGATTGCTCCCCCCAAAATACATCATGCCATGGGCCATTCATATTCTTAAATAAATAAACATACTTATCTGTGTAACAGTAAAATTTAATACATTTTTCAATGGAAAGAGTCAGTAATAAAAATTCCAGACCCTCCAAGCTACAAGGTCTTCTCAACTCTGTCACTGTAGCACAAAAGTTAGTGTGTTTGACAGTGCACAGTGACTATAACAAATACCAAAGATGATGGACAAGTTGCAAAGGGAAAAGTTCATTTTGGCTTCTAGTTTAGGAGGGAAGTTCCAGTCTGGGTATATTTATTTGGGTCTGAGGTGAAGCAGCATGTCACAGGCAAAGTGTATAACAGAGGAAATGCTCGCTGCTGACCAGGGCTCAAAAACAGAGCATGAAGAAGGGGTCCCAAGAGCCCACAGTGCCCTTCAGGCATATGCTTCAATGACCAGAGGTCTACTAAGCCCCATTCACAACCCAAAGGTTCCATCACTTCCCAACAATGCTAACTGAGGAGCAAGGTTTTAACACATGGAACTCTGGGGGACTTTAAAAGTTCAAGCTATATCAGCCTCCAAAATAACACATGCATGCTTGAGTATAGCTGGGTTCCAGAAGAACATTATTTATAGATACTGAATTCCATATCATTTTCATGAGTCACAAAGTATTCTTTTTTAACTATTAAAAATATGAAAGATATTCTTCGTTTGCAGGACATACAAAAACAGGTGTCAAGCTGGACTTAGTCTGTGGGCTATATCACATACAGGCCCTTATACACCAATGGACAGAACTCCTGTTCATTGCAGATTACATAAAAGGATGTAGAACAGTCCTTTACTCACAACAGTAGATGGCAACAGAAAAATCTTCAACGAAACAGTTTGCTCGGTCTTATAGTATTTGCATTTATTATATGATAAACATAACAGATTCCCTTCTTATTGTTTCAGGAAACAACTTTGATCCCTTAGAGATTGAAATGATTCTAAACATACTTGTACTTGTATCTGTGAATTTTTTGGATTATCAAAATTCAACAGACTTGTAACTTTTCAAGCAGTGCAGAGATGAATAGCATAAATG